ATTGCATTTCACGTATCCAAAGTTAGAAGGCCCATTAGATTCATAATGATAGAATTCAATAAAACCGAATAGAGACTTTTATAATACAAAAAATGTAATTCCAGGCATAATGACTTGATGGAAATTGAAGATGCTCAAAGAAGACTCACTAAGGCTATTGTGGGGTATTCCGACGACAAGGATTACCACAAAAGATGTCAACAAATCGAGTTAAAACCTCCCTGAGTCAGACGCACTGAGTCAAACTATGTCCTTGTCTACCGGTTTATGGACGGCATTTCTTATTGCTCGGCATTCAGACATTCGTACTGTATGATATCACCCCTTAAACTACACCACAGTTCACGTTATTCGCTACTCCAACATGTGGAACAGACTGCTAGTGAACCGATGTTGCAGTGAAACTACAACCCGGTTCAGAATTCTCCTTGATCATTTTTTTTCCGAAAGTGGATTTTGACACCTATTGAATATCTGTGTTTAATAATGATTTATACGGACAAGGTCCGTCATCTATATAACTGACTGAGAAGCAAAGTATAACTTTTAAAGTTTTCAACGTCTATTTTATATATATTTTGTTCCTAAAAATCCAAGATCTATAACTAAAAACAAATTATCTTATGTCACACCTAAATAAATCATATTCTCAGATTCATTTTGTCTTCACCACATACATATAACTCGTAGTGGAGTTTTCGTGCCTTAAGGTAACCCTCGTGCTATTGATAGAAGAAACCAGACAAGTAGTGAATAGGTCTTTATTTCGATCTTCGCGCAGTCACAGTGGAGCGTGGGATTATCTGTTCAGACAAACAAAGGCTCTCAACATTCAATATAAGATAATAGGGAATATAACGCTTATGAAAAATAAGGAAGTGAATGAATACTTGAACAATACTGTTTTGGCATAAGCTTGGTTGTTTGGGGTCAACTCTTAACCAACCAACCTGAGCTGTTACAGAGTTACCTAAGGTACAATTCTTTGTCTACTTCTTCTTTTAGTTTATTTAAGGAATTACCAACTGTAGCAAAGTCATCCGTTATACTCTTCACCGATGACATAAAGATATGGAGATAGAGTAGTATTACATGATGATCGCGATTCATTGGTGGCATCGTTGGGCGTCTGGTCACGAGAAGCGAATTCCAATGAAAAGGTGGTGATGTAATTAGGCAATTATGATGATTCGTAACACTACTTAATACGCCGAGTCGTGTCACACACAGTAATGGACTATAAAGATTTAGGAGTCATATTAGGCAGCGACCTCGAAACTACGAGCAACTACAAGACTGCTTCTGCCAAAGGCTTGTGGAAACTACGGGCTATTAGTAGATTTTTTAGGGTGTTATGCCCGACTTTCGTGATACCGCATCTGTAATATGGGATTCAAGCAGTGAGTCCTTGTTTCAAGTATGAGGAGCATAACTCGCAAGTTGCTCAAAGTTCAGACATAGGAGATATTTCTTGCCCAAGCCAACGACCAAAAGACAAACTAATTCCAGATGTTTCTTCAAATTCACGGCCAGAAGGGAATCGACAAATCTGGGGCCCTATGCTTTCAAACGGGAAAAATGGCAATGATCTTACTAATTTTGGGGGGGGGGAATCTCTAATGCTAAATACACCGACCAGTTAAACCAGGAACCTACAAGGAACACTCCTCAACTCTAGGGCCAGCTGATAGTTTGGGTAATATATAACTAACTCCAGAATTAGTACTGAGGAAAATACGATCCCTGAACCAGAGAAAACATCGGAACCTGACAACATCCAAACTATAATCATGAAACAGTGAGCACTAGCTATTAGCAGGCCACTTTGTGACATATTCAGTTGCTTACTAGATTTCATTCAACTACCAAGGGACTGGAAACAGTCTGTTTTCTCCCTAATCTTCAAAAAAGGGAATGGAAAGGACCCGTCCTGCTACAGACCAGTCGCATTGCTCGTAATCTGTCGGTGATAGAAGGGATGACCAATGAACAAATGAAGGGATTTATGAATAAAAATAGCATTCCCCATAAAGTAAAAAGCAGCTTAATAAAGGGACGTCATTCACTTTTAACTTCCTCATGGTATGAGACAGCTGGACGACCTGCTGGGACCTAAAGTTGTCCGTCCACATGATAGTCTTACACCACTTGATGGGTACACAGAAACCCTGCTACTCTGAGACAAACTCACTCACTTGGATTAAAAACCATCTAAATCCACAAATAACTACTGAACTGATAAGAATTAGTCTAATCGAGTGGTTAGATTATCATCCATTGGACAGTATAAATACTTGAAACCGTGCCGTAAAAACAAGAATTGGGCGCAAAGATTTTTGGTATTTGACCTCGGTTGAAAATATTAAATGGGACTTAGCTTGTTCGTCACTAATTCAGATGAGATTCAGATTTGTGTAGTAAAAACAGAAGGCTTACAGCCTAAGTTATTCCTTTTCGAGTATGCTTCTGTGTCTATTTTCCTTAGTGAGCCAATTGAAGGTGCAGACACCCCTGCACCGGGTAACAGGTCCCAAGAATTGATGACTCAGTGTGGAAACCTGTGCGCCACTAGTATTTCCTTCATTATTGGCTTTTCTACTCGCCTACTATATCCTTTGAGTTCTCACGATGTGGTACGAATAAAAAGAGAGGATAATATGGGGTCGAAAACCATTTTAATGGAATTCTTGGTATTTCACACATCGAAATCAGACCACCTCTTAATAAGTGGTAGGACCGAGTAGAGAGGCCTGGCTTCTCAAACCACTCTTTGTATGGTAAGCTCCGTAGTTCCGGAATTGCACGAGTAGCTGTTCTCTGTACGTTTTCAGGATGTCCGAGTCAACTTACAAACAGGGGCCTGCAGCCTGAACGCAGTTTTCAAGTTTAGTTCTCACTAGGGTTGCGTATACCCTGGAGAACATAGTAGTATCTAACTTGGTGAATGTCCAACTTAAAGCACATAGGGTTCTAAACCGCTTAGCTGTGACCTCACAACAGTGGGCCGTGGTCTTAAGATGATGGCTCACTATCACCCGAAGATCCTCGTGAACCGGACTATGGGCACAGGCTCTTCTCATATGCTACATCTATTTACCTTTATACGCCTAATATGCGTGTAGGCACTTGACCGTGTTGATAGGTATCATCCATCTTTTAGACCACCTAATCAGTCAGTCAGTCAGTAACAACGTAGAACTTCGTACGTACATACATCAGTTCGAGTTGCCATACCACATTAGCACAGAAATACAGTGGTCGATTCAAATCCCGTAGTGGTAGAGGTAGTAAGAGTATAAGCAGTAATCGGGAAGATTAGGGTTTGGAGATGTTATTCAAGGAGTATAATCCAATGAAATAAATTTGGAAAGAGAAAAAAGAAAGGGACATGAAGAATTCAGAAGATTAGAATTTAGGGGAACACAAAGAGTGGATGCACCTGCACCATTGCAAACGATTTTGAGCCATGTCATTCAGGGTCTCTAACCATCGGTTGCTATCATCTCGCGGTCCCCAACCAGGTAGTCTACACCTACCAACATGACTCAGTCCACTTGTCAGTGACTTCATGGACTTGTGCCATATTTTGGTCTGGCCGCCCCCCTAATAAGAACATATGAGTCTGCTGGAAGTGCACATGGATCTGCGTCTCTTGTTATTTCTCGTCAGATTTTTTACGTCATCAGCGTATGGTAGCATCGGGGACTCATCTATACTTGAGAGTTCATTTACATACAGTATAAAAGGTATAGGACCTAGGACAGTCTTGTGGTACTCTACTAAATGCTGGTTTCCGGGTGGAGCAATTGAAATTCATTCTTACTTTCTGTCTACGGCCTATCAAGAAACTTTAACCCACTTTAGAGATCCAGCGATCCCTAGATTTTGATGACCCTGCTTCTTAGTTCTAAATTATGGACGGTGCATGAACATCAACTACTATGTGGCTTTTACACCTGCTCGACCAAGATTTATGCTTGCTTAGGAGTAAGTCATCCGCCAATCATTCTGAATTGCGTTATGCTACAAATAATTCAACTTCTTGCTGTTTTCATTCAGGCCTTCAACCCACCAGTTCACATGTTCCTGAGTCGTGTGCCACTGTCTCGACAGCTCGTATGGTTAAAGTACCTTTCGTGCACATGATGGTCCCACCATCGTTAGGGTTTAATTTGTCAGCCCTACTAGGTAAGAAACCCAACAAATGGATCTCACTGTCAGAGGTCGCGCCTGAGGGTCTCACTCTGTTTCCCTACTTTTCCTCTGTGTGTAACTGTAAGCCAGTCATTCACCTTATCATGTCTCTTGATCTAATCATCCACACCGCTCAGACAGCGTTGATATGGGAGTCCGGAACTGAAACTGTTGCCATAGCTGAAAAGAACCGTTACTCAAATTCTTAGTCTTCTAACTCTGAATCCCGATTCTGGTTTGCTGTCTTAATAAGTATCTTCACACATATGTTACTTACCATCACGTAGTGGTAAATAATATCAGATTGGTTGGTCAGCCCTTGTTTCTTACTGAAGACAGTTAAAAGATGTCTTTGGACTGATTGTTCTGAAAATGTAAGGAATACATTTTTGAAGCTTATCTAAGTGATTTTTATTGAAGTAATTAGTTAAACGCTAAGGTGAATGTCGGGAAAAGACATGAGTTAGTGTAATTAGATTTGATATGAATTTAATTAAAATCTAGTCGCTTAGAGCCTTTTTTATCAGCCCTAAAATTATGTTCAGGTTTTCACGTAAATCGTCTATCTCAACTATTGATCTCCAAATCCCTACTCTGTGGTTCCTGTTACTTTCAAAATTTATTCAAAGCATTCTGCTTCCCTAATTTCCTGGACGTAGTACTTCTGAAATTCAAACTGAAGCTCTTTATAGAATTGTTCCCTTGCATTGTATGAATCTACTTTTAATTAATTATCTCATTGAATTCAAAAGTTTGGTTTACATATTCAGTAAGTCATATTGTTTTAGTTTGTAGACAATTTCGAGATGAAATTCCATTGGAAAGAACAAAGTAAATATGTTGCTGAATACCACACCGATACAGTTGAGTTTTGCTCAGATGGGTCAATGGCTCTGTGTGGCAGTTATGAACTAAACAGTGTATGTTAATGTTTTTTAGATTAAATGAGAAAGTTGGTGAGACTCTAGATTATAGACGACGTTTAATCGACGCTGAATTGGCTTTTAAAAAGCCACTTTAAATGTCCACCTACGTGCTAGGGTTAAATGAGAGTTACAAATTTGTGTGAAGAATTAGGGTTAAGGTCTGCAGTTGGATTTTGGGTTTCATGAACTGACACAAGCTATAATGTCAAAATGCCATTTAACCACATGAATGAATGAATTTTGCACCTAAATCCTAGACCAACTATATTAGATCTAATCGATTCTTCCAGAAATTAGTCACCATTAGGTTTACTGATTGATGAGTAGATAATTCTTAGATTTATGCTAATACACCAATATTTTTATGCCAATTCTGTATTTTTATAGTTAACCACTTATATCCTTTTTTATGGTGAAGACGCCTTATTTACCTATATTTTGTCACAGAAATATAGTGGGTTGTTCCTGGATCGAAACAGCGTTTTAATTGCAAGCGTTTTTCCCTGAAATTCAGAACAAGGACTCGTCCATAATCACTGACTGAAGTAAATAAAAGTGACGAATTAATCGACCTTTGTTTTCAAATCTTATTATTGTAACTGAAAGAATGACACTAGAAAACTAGAGGCGAAAACAGGTAGATAAAATAAGAAATGTGTCTGGTTGGTAGGATAATGGCAAATGCTCTTTAGTTGTCGTAATTGGTTTTGTTCAGTTTCGCTCTCTGTCTTGCGGGTTTTAGCATGCGTTTCAGACTCACTTTTGACGGTGAAGAAGTATTGATAGGACTATTGGTGGTTTTTCACTCCATGGTTGCACATACTATTAGGAGATACCTATTGAAGTACCTAGAAAAGACTGGGTTAGTAGTGGTCTTGGCGACCTGGACGTGTGGCCACAGATAGCTTACTGAGACTGTGCATACACATCCTTTTTGCGAGTAGTTATTAGTGTACTAGCTCCATACTTCGAGGGATTTACAGCTAGCGACGGGAATTCGTAAGTCGAGGTGAGACGTACCATTTCTAACCCCGACCACTTCCAACTCTCTCCCATTATGGGAAGGGAGCGTCTCAGTGGTTTATTTATTTATTCGAACACAAAGATTGGTACAAAGGGACACCGAATACATATGCGCCACATAAGTCACTTGGTTTGTGTATGTGCTATGATACTGCCCGGGTGCCCAGATCAGAGCAGGTTGTTTTCTTAGGAGGTCACACCCAGAGCCTTCGACCTAAAGGTCTGATTCACAAGGGAGTGTAGAAACGTAAGGAGACGCAGTCCCATGGTAACCAGTGACTAACGATTGGTTCATACACCATTTTTTCCTTCAGAATACTGGAGCTCATGTGCACCATTGGTTTGGAATCAGGGTTTTGAAACTCCCCTAGGTAAACTCACTGTCCACCAACCAGGTTAAAGCGCTGAATATTCGCTTTGCGTTCTCTCAGTTTGGTAAACAACACCCTCGCCGCAAGAAGGCAGTAAGTAGGACATCCCTGGCAGTGGCTGTATACGCGTGGCCATGTGAAAGCATTTCGAGCGGGTGACTCCTACCACTCTCGGTCGTACCAGGGCGTCTTTATTGATTGTAGCTTTATGAAAATACCTTAGTCCCTTCGCATCCCTGTGCAGTGAACAATAAAATTTTGTCCTCAGACTTTGAGTTGCTGCTGTTAGTATTATTGGTTTTTAACCTACCTACTTTGTATGTTCGAACGAAAAAAACAAATGTTTCAATCATTACATTAGAGTTGGATCGTCAGGATATGGATCTCAGACTACCCATGAGTGAAGTGTCATGTTGTGGTCATTCCAGGATTTTAATGTAATTCTTATACTGACCTGTAGTCACAAGTTGGAGTTAATGTTAATTTTGGCTGTGACCCTTTGTGAAGTCCATCTAGTTATTTTTACTTTTGGATGAGTATGTTTCAACAATTCACCAAATTTTATCATATTCCTTCGTTAATGTCCCCAATGAGTAATCATTATTCATAAACCTAGATTCAACATTATGATCTGAATAGTGTGGTGTTACTTTTTGTTTTGTCTTACTCTTTCAGGATACCCAAGAGCGTTTCGGTGGCTTACTGTTATTCAGTCGAGTTTCAACTGATTATCAGTATGTTTTATCGAGTAATATATCGTGTTCTGGTGTATTAGATATAAGTTGGCTAAATGGTAATGTCGCAATCGGTGCATTGGCAAATGGTTCAACAAAACTATGGAACTGTACTATTGATGGTCCCTCGCTAAATGAATTAATAGATTTTCCAGTATCTGATCATATTCTACTATCTGTCGATACGAGTTCGGATAGGTCAGGTTAAAATAGTAATAGTAAATACTGTGAATCTGAAAATCCTTGCAGATTTGTTTTCAGTGATTCAGGTGGGAATATTAGTGTGTGGAAGATCGACACATCATCCTGTTCAAATCCTCAACCAATTAATAAGTGGCCTGGACATGAGTTTGAAGCTTGGTGTGCATGTTTAAATAAATGGAACAGTGAAATAGTCTTCACAGGTAGTGATGATTCAAAATGTTGTGTCTGGGATCTACGTGAAGGATGTAAAAAGCCGTTGAATATCATCAGGTAAGAGTCAGTTGTGCTTCTAGTTCATTGCAATGACTAGACTAAGTACAAGTATTTTAGTATGCAAATTTTCAGTTCCTAGAAAATTTTGAGTATAGTAGAAAATTTCTTCAGCTTGGTTGGTTAATACTGTCAGTCTATTCTTGCTTTGTTGAAGGCTTCGATTATGTTCGCAAGTATCTTCAAGATAAATATTTTAAATGCCAGTCAGTCACCTACAACGTAGGACCAGGCACATATACATGTCGGTCCAAGGTGCCACACCTCATTAGCACAAGATGAACACCGAATTCATAGAAGTAGTTACTTCAGTGGTGGTAATATATAGAAAAAGATTAGATATAAGCATATAATACAGAAAGAATTAGTTCATAGAAAGAAAGGTACCAAGTAATTCTAATCTCACGGTTTAGTGAAAGACAAAGAGTGTATACACCTAAACCGTTGTGATAGATTCTGAGCCATGTCACCAAGAGTCTCCAACCATTGGTCACGATAGTCGCGCGGACCACAACCAAGTAGTGTGCATCTACCAACATGGCTCAGGCCAGAAGTTAGTGACCTCAAGTACTGATTGGACGTTTTGGTTTGGCCACCCCTAACTTCCTTCCAACCGTCTCCAAGACTAGTCAGCATTGTGGTAATCAGTGTTCAGGCATACGTAACACGTGATCCAACCATCTCAGTCGATGAAGATTCGATCTCATCAACTGATTTAACATCGTTCCCTAATACTCCGTGTTATAGTCTCTTTTCCTACGGTTATGACCCAGCTATTCCTATTGCTTAATATTCTTGGACACTAAATCACTCGACAAGACCCCAAATCAGAACACGGTTGAACAGGAAAGAGATTATATCCCAAATAACAAGGTTAGACGGAAGAAGATGCAAGCCAGAAGCACAATAGAGAAAACGTCAGTATATTTATAGTTTTTTACATGAGAAGATTCTAGAGTATTCTCCAACTATCGACTAGTGCTGATTGGATAAAAATTAGCCAATCAGCGTGCACCAAAGCAATCGTGAATTGAGCATTCTTTAATCCGGTCTATGTCCCGCTAACACTGCGTCTAACCTCACTTTTACTTACGCGTTGATACCAGCTGATGCTGGCAATACTTCTAAGACATGTGATCATGTTAAATAAATGTGCTGTTATAATTTCCGTACGTTTATTATCACTGGATTTTTTGAATTTTTAAAAAAAATATATGGTTGTATGTTTTGCCAACTACGTTGCCATTACATGATTGATTAACTTTAAACATGTTGAAAGTCTTTGTTGTTTGATATTGATCACCCGATTGAGTCAGTAACACTGAGTCTGATAGTTGTAAGATAATCCTATTCCGAAATATGTTAGAGGACGTCAAATTGATGCATATCAAGCCAAATGTATTCACTTGATGAAGGGTTTATATAATTTTAGTAACTTCACCTAGTAATAACCAAATGTATATCCTTGTACTGTATATTAATCTACCCTTTTTGTATGTAGTTAATTATGACACGGTGGTATTCGACTTCTTCAACTACTGGGTACCCCATTATTTCAGTTTTGTGAAGCCAGGTAGATTCATTCTTAAAACATTGTCATTAAAAGCCGAATACATAAATATGTAGTCGCTGAGTAAATCTGTTATACTATTCGGTAGCTGAATTCAAATTAGATGTAACTAGGTTCGAGCCCGTGTCCTACTGGTTGAAGTCGAATATCTTAACCACTGCATACTCATTTACAGTATAAAAATGCTAATGGTTTTGTGTCACTCATGTATCGATAAAATTAATATACGATAAGTAAACTTAATTCTGGTCCACTTCATGGAAACATTTTTTTCTACTAATATATCAGTGGTTATTTTGTCATTAGTTTTTTCATATTGCTAGATGTTTTCGTAAATCTTAGTGTGCCATTTTTAGGAATGTGATTATTTCAACTTCTTTTATTTTTCGTAAATTCAAGTTCGTTCATCAAGTCATAAACAATTAAAACACTATATGGACGAAGAATATTCTCAACAGATTCTTTTCAGGTTCTACAATTATATATCCAAATTGATAATCCAAAAGTGGCCAGGTTTAAGGCAAGGTACATTGTTAAAAATTATTGGGAAATAAAATGAAGTTGTCAGTGTTGAGATGATTAATATGAAGTGCTAACTTGAATAAGCCTATACCTTAAATGAAATTGTGAAATTGATGGTCAGAATAAATGTAGGTCAGATAGGGTGAAAAAAATAATGGAACTACAAATTTGACTAAGTGTTTGGTGGAAGACTATGTTGTGTATAAAGTGATATTAAGTCTACGAAATAATAACTTAGGGTGAGTGCTAAGTAGATTAATCATGTTAGTAATGTCGAAACAACAATTCTAATACTACTAGTAATAAAACAAAGCTATGTGAATAAGGATAACAAAGGCAATTATATTTGATTAAGAAAGGTTGTACTTTAGTCAAACTACATTACTCAATAATCGAGGTTGCTATTAATTAGGTGGTCCTGAAGTTAGCCAAAGTAAGAGAAGCAGTTAGATATATTTCTTTTGAATATGTGGCTCCAGTTTTTTTACTCTGAATGGCTATTGCTTCTACCGTCTAAAGGACTTTGAATCTGATAGACTGGCAAGAAATTACTGACCCGATAAATTATTGGGAAATATTGGCTTGTACTGACGCTATGACCAGCCTGTTTTCGTCTTATTCTTCAAAACTCAAGATCTTCAGTTTTTGTGAGATTCTCATAACTGTTTAACCGATATCCCCTCCATAAACGTTAGGAAAAAACAAATACCTATTACTTTTTGGTCCTAATCACAAATAATCTTAAATATTATTTTCTTAACAATAAAAGTTCTCTATATACCAGCAAAATGCGTAATCATATACTGTCATTTAGTGACTGAATTTAGTATAAAGTTTACAAAGTTTCAATGATTAGTTTCCAAATGAAGTTGAAAAAGAGGCTCACATTGAATTATAAAATACACAGTTAAACAAATATATCACTAAAGATTTCCTAACTGGATCTGGACAACTACCGAATGTAGTGTTTTCTTCCTTCAGTTCTTATACGAATTATTTTACTCCACGTGATTTAGATTTCAGTTGAAAGGTTATTAAACTAACGGCTCTTTCATATCTTTTTCTTGTTTGACTCTACTTTCAGACATAGTGTGGGTGTTTGCAGCATTCAAAATTATCCTGACGTAGATTATTCCATTTCTACCGGAAGGTTAGTTTTTCTTTTCTTTACAAAGTGAAATACAATTCCGGATACTTATTAGGTAACAGAATATGTTCGTTCTGTTCTACCTTTAAGATATCAAAGGTAGTCTTCAGAAGCAGTATATTCATAGGTCATTTGTATTAAACAGATAGCGTCCAACTATCAGTCACCAGGTCAGAGATACGAATCCAACTTCACCTACTTTGTTTTCGGCAACCAGGTCGTATCACTAGCCTCGACACAGAGTGTGACAGGGGGAATCTGTACTTTGTGAGTTGTATTACTACCAGCATTTGATCATGGACCCATTTAAAGCATTGCTCGCGTACGTTGGGACCATTAAGTGACTAGTACTAAGGTAATGCGTAGAAAAGTAGGTAAGTATGGCAAACTGATTAATAAGCCAGTGAATCTTCATCAACTGAGGCGGTTGGGTCATGTGCTACGCATATCCAACCACTACCTCACCTCAGTGAGGGATGTTTACTGATGTAGGAGTAGGTTCGAAGAAAGCTAGAGGCAGTCAAATCAGGACGTAGGATCAGCCCATGAAGTTATTGATTGTTCGTCTGAGTGATGTAGGTAGATTTAGTCTGCCTGGTTGGAGTCTGCACGATTGTTGTTGTTAGGAGACCTTGGATGAAATAGTTCGGAATCGGTCACATTAGTGCAGATTCATTCATTCTTTGTCTTCCCTTAGATTCTGAGTTCCAAAATTATCCCATACTTATTTCTCGAATTTATTCACTTTTGTCCAGTCACATTGTCTGTCCTTACCGTATTTTACTACTACCACTACTACTACTACCGATGCTGTTACTCCTACTCTGACACTAGTTTTAGTAATTATATATATATATATATATATATATATATATATATATATATATATATATATATATATATATTCATGCCAGTTTGCATGTTGGCTATGGAGTACTCAATAAGTAGGAAATAATTCTAGAAATCTTATAATAGGTTAATTCTTATCTGATAGATGTCCTTTTTATCAGTCTCATCATGAAGTCCCTAAAAAATTTGCTGAAATTCAACTCTATTAACTTTTAACGGGACATTATGTAAGCAAAAAAACGGAGTAGCATTGGGATCCCCCGTGTCCCCGATTTTAGGCAACCTGTTTATGTCACACAAAAAATCAAATATTTTCGCCAATGACATTAAACTACGAACTTGCTTCAGATATGTAGATGATACTTTTGCTGTCATAAAAAAGACTCACTTAAGATCTTCTAAATTGTTTAATACACTCTCATCCCACATTAAATTTGCGTACGAGAATGGAAATGAACACGGTGAGCTACCATTTTTAGATTACTTAGAAGAAATCTAAGTGGAGCTCTAAATCTAACTATCTATCGAAAACCAACGCAGTCAAATCGTTTTATCGACTTCAATTCAGGACATCCATTCAGTGCAAAAAGTTCTAGCCTTAAATGTCTTAAGAAGTGCAAACATGATTACTACATCTTAAGAGAATAAACAAAATGAACGAAAGCATGTAATTAACACTTTACAGTTAAGTAATTTTCATATAAAGATTATTAAAAGTGCCATAAAGCGAAACGCGTTACTGCTAAGTAATAGTTCGAATAGTATAACATGGATTGGTATTGTCCCGACCGTAGCTGCTGCCTTGACGCGGTGGTCGGGCTTGCCTATCGCGATGACCCAACCGAGCTATATTGGCTGGAACATATGTTCCTGTAGGTTTTACCATGCCAGGCAGGGTGGTTGGAGAACGGTAACACTAAAAGCAGCAACTCAAGGTCTGAGGGCGAAGTCGTACTGCTGACTGTAGTAGGGTGTGACAGCAGTAAGGTGTTTCCCTCGGACAAAAAGCATCTGCAGCAATGCTGCCTTCTCACAAGGAAGGAAGGGGTTAGAAAAGGTCGCCCCTTAAAATGTCACACCTCACCTCACGGATTTCCGTCTCCGGTGGTAAGGCCCCTTTGAAGAACGGAGCTAACACATTAAAAACCTTCCACGAAAAGGCCGTGCGCGACCGGCCTCAAGCAGTTGTCCCTTGGGTTCTGCGGTCACGCTCCCAGGCCGTGAAGGCCGACATTAATCCATCTTTTTTTTCAGGTTCCTCAAGAAATACCCTTCCACAGTGTGGGCAGCCGGGAAGTGATGTCAGCTCTCATACCCGTAACAGCACACGAGACCAAGTTGGTCACATTCAAATCCCTCCTACACTTCTTAATAACTCTGTTATCTCCACGACTAACCCTTCTCATGTCCTTTTTTCACCTCACACCGCTAGGGCAAACGATTCGAATACGCGTAACGTTATCCATAGTCTCCTGAAACCACGCTCTAAACTACACGGGGCTTTTAACGTTCGAACACTGTGCCAAATAGGACAACAGGCTTCCTTAGCTAGGACTTTAGAATCTCGCGCCATCGATGTGTGCTGCGTCTCCGAAACGCGCATACAGGATCCGAGTAGCGTCATTCATTTGACCTCACCATGTCAAAATAAAGAACCAACTCGATTCACACTTCGTGTATCTGGAAGCCCTGCTGCTGCTTCTCGTGGCCTCGCCGGCAAAGGTATAGCATTGTGTCTTAGGGCAGAACTAGCCCTCTTAGAGGGGATCCCAGTAGACAGTCGTTTGTGCGCTGTCCGACTGAACGGAACAGTAAGGATCCGAAAAGATAGGGACACGAAAGCAAGAGAGATGGAAAAGGCAGCGGCATTAGGTAATAGCAGACAATTGTTCAGATTTGTTAGGGAAACCGGTATTAGGAAACCGACTGTTAGCGAAACACTCAGAGAAAGATGGACATATTATACATTCTCAATCCAGGAGATTGGATCGATGTGCAGAACACTTCAGGGATCAGTTCAACTGGCCTTCAGCCACACTGCGGTTTCCCACGATCTCCAGTCAACCTGAATGGCAAGTTAGTGTAGGTCCTCCAACTCTTTATGAAGTTGAAAAAGCTATAGGAAATCTGAAGCGAGGGAGAGCAGCAGGCCCTGACAGGTTTACTCCTGAGATTTTTAAGGATGGTGGTTCAGTATTAGCAGTGAGATTAAATGAGGTCTTAGGTAGAATTTGGGAACTGGACGTAATCCCATCTGACTGGTCTCAATCACTGATTGTGCCAGTTTATAAGTAAGGACAAAAGTCCTCTTGTGACAATCACAGAGGAATCAGTTTGACTAGTATCGTGTCTGAAATATTAGCCTCAATAAAACCTCGACGCCTAATCAAAGCTCGTGAAGAGCAGACTCGAGAAAATCAGGATGGTTTTCGACCTGGACGTGGTTGTATAAACCAGATATTCACACTACGTCAGGTTCTAGAACACAGACACACGTTCAGATGCCCCACAATGGTAGTATTTCTCGACCTTAAAGTAGCATTCGACTCTGTTGATCGTGAGGTTCTATGGCAGTGTTTATCATTGAAAGGAGTACCAAAGAAGTACATTAACCTTGTAAAGGCTCTCTACTCGAACACAACTAGTCGAGTGAGAGCTTATGGCGAACTGTCATCAGAATTGATTACCTCAAGTGGTGTTCGTCAGGGCTGCCCACTCTATCCATTTTTGTTTAACTTTGTCATTGACGTACCTTTAGGGATGACACTTTCCTCATCTAAATTTTCAGGGGTTGAACTTCTACCGGGAGATTCACTTGTTGACTTGGAATATGCTGATGACATCGTTTTATTTGGTGAAGACGCTGACAAAATGCAGAGTCTTCTGACCACACTAAGCAACAATGCAAGCATGTTCGGGATGCGATTCTCCCCTCGAAATGCAAAATGTTGCTTCAGGATTGGGTGGCAACGACACCCGAACTAATGATAGGGAGTGAAGTACTTGAGCGTGTCGACCGCTTCACTTATCTCAGAAGTCTCATCAGCCCTTATGGTCTGGTGTGTGACGAAATCTCAGCACGGATACAGAAGGCTCGACTAGCTTTTGCCAACTCGCGTCATTTATGGCGTAGGCGAGATATCCGTCTATCAACCAAAGGACGTGTTTACTGCGCAGCAGTTCGTTCCGTCCTACTTTATGGCAGTGAAACGTGGCCGGTAAGAGTAGAGGATATTCGTTGGTTTCTAGTATTCGATCATAGGTGTCTTCGAAATATTGCTCGTATATCGTGGGCCCATCGAGTAAGTAACACAGTTGTTAGGACACGGGTACTAGGTAAGGATGGCAAACCAATTGATGACGTAGTGAAACTTCATCAGTTGAGATGGCTTGGACACGTGTTCCGTATGCCCAACGACCAAATGCCTCGACGTGCGATGTTCAGTGGTATAGGAGTAGGTTGGAAGAAAGCTAGGGGCGGCCAGACCAAAACATGGCACAAGTCCATGAAGTCACTGACAAGTGGACTGAGTCATGTTGGTAGGTGTAGACTACCTGGTTGGGGACCGCGAGATGATAGCAACCGATGGTTAGAGACCCTGAATGACATGGCTCAAAATCGTTTGCAATGGTGCAGGTGCATCCACTCTTTGTGTTCTCCTAAATTCTAATCTTCTGAATTCTTCATGTCCCTTTCTTTTTTCTCTTTCCAAATTTATTTCACTGGATTATACTCTTTGAATAACATCTCCAAACCCTAATCTTCCCGATTACTGCTTATACTCTTACTACCTCTACCACTACGGGATTTGAATCGACCACTGTATCTCTGTGCTAATGTGGTATGGCAACTCGAACTGATGTATGTACGTACGAAGTTCTACGTTGTTACTGACTGACTGACTGATTGGCACTGTAGTTTTACCATATCGCCATGGTACAACAGAAAAACTCCATGAGTCTTAAGACAACACAGAAAACCACCTGCTTCTATCTGTGCACCTGGGCAATATAGCATACACACAAATCAAGTGACTTGTGTGGCGCGTATGTATTCGGTGCCCCTTTGTACCAATCTTTGTGTTCAAATAAATAAATAGATAAAACACCCTTCGAAACGCTTTAGTTCGCCTAAAGGAAAAAGTCCCCTTTATTTCAACTCAGAATTATATCTACAAACTAAGATGTGTCGATTGTGACGCCGTCTTTATTAAAGAGTCATCTCGTGAGATCTTCACTCGAGCCAAACAACATCTTAGGTACACAAGGAAATCAAATAATAATCCCGTAGAACTGAAAAGACTTCAAATTAAATCAACAATAGCAGTTCATGTAATTTTCAACAACTAGGTCGATATTAAAAACATCAAAACAATATAAAAAGGCTTTCCCAACTACAATGAGAGACGAGTAACTGAAGCTTTCCGTATATTGCTTAACCCTACTCTTTTCAATAGAAAAGAAGGCCTCACTATTCATCCGACTTGGACCATCTGTCCGAGCTACAATATCTGATTCTACTCACTTCTCACGGCATTATCACACAAATTCAACTCTATCTTTTCACACCAAAAAGTTATATTTTTCGTCCTTTAACATATACAAATGTAAAAACATGACTCACATAAATCATTTTGACAGAAATGACATGACATTGACTTGGTTAGAGCTATTTTTTTGATTGATCGCACGGAATATTCCTTTGTACTATTTAAACTTGGGTTAATTGGATTTGATTATTCATTATCTGAAGAAGTGGCTTACATTGAGTCACGAAACGTCGGAAAATCTAATTTTTCTACTCATTGAAATACATTATTTTCATTAATTCTTATTGAAACATTTTTATTTCAAAGGAGAAACATGATAAACATTTCTACATTATTATGAGTATTATTATTTTATGATAATATTATAAAACAGTTGATTAAATTCAGACAAACATTAAATTTTTCGGCAAATTGAGTAGAAAATTAAAAATTCTGACCATGTTATTGTTAAACGTAAGTAATAAATGTTCTTTGTGATTATTACATTCTCCGAACGGACAGGAGTTATCTGTCAAAGAAAAAAAAAAAGAATAAGTGTTATTTTATGAAATTATGTTTTTAGTTGATTTATAGATAAAGTTTCTCTCTGGTCTGAATTGACGAAGATAATAACTTTAGAACTTACAATACTCTTGAATATATGTATATATATTATTATGTCCTAACAAACTGTACTTTCCGAGATCAGATTGGATTTCTAGGGTTATCACATTCCTGTCTAACTACTAGGTTGGACTTTCATGTAAGTAGAACTTTCAGAATTTAATTATTTCATGATACAAAACAATCAAACTCGTACTTGCACGATTCGTGTTTCATCATAATATGGAATATTAAATCACTGGTTCATAGGTTCAGTTTTCTGACACTAAGTCGCAGGTTTAAATCCAACTCCACTTATTTCTGTTTAGACGACCACTTAGTATCATCTAGCTCACATATTTAGAGTGTGACCAAAAGCCTGGTACATGAATTAATAGAATAATTCCACCTTATCTGTCAATACTATGTATTAAAAATTTCTACCTGAACTCCACTAATGATTACATTTAGTTACGGTACATTTCAGTTTTGTCAGTCTGTGGTATCGATGTTTTTTGAACCTAGACAACGATAATAAACTCCGTAGTTTAAAGGATTATCTTTTTCTTGTAGCTGATATCAATATTATATTTAATCAGTTATTATTATCAATATCACTAACTAATTTTCGCTTTGTTTTCCAATATATATGTACACTTTCACAGTTACGATGATACTTTGTATTTATGGGATTTACGTATGATTCATTCTTCTGACAAGGTCACCAATACTACCACTACTCCTTTACAGAAATGTCAGTTCGATGGTGGAGTTTGGCGTCATAAATGGGGTCCACAAAATTATGTTATAGTCAGTGCAATACATGATGGTTTCGCTGTTGCACATCTACCATTACGTTCACCTTTTAATCACAAAGCAGATGAAGAGGATTCTGTATATAAATTTCGTTCGACCAATGGACAATTAGCCTATGGTATTGACTGGTCATTCAATCATAAAACTAACCAGTCGGAAAGTAATTTTATAAAATCAACTGTAGTTTGTTGTTCATTTTATGACAATACTATAGAATTCGGTGAACTTATTATTAAGTTATAAATCACTATTTATCTGAACTCAATCAAATATTGTGTTTGTGTACAAAGTAAACTGATAGCTGGGTATTTGTATTTATATTTCATATTATTCTTTGTGTATAGCTATTCATGTTAATTAATTGTTTTGTGTTCTGATCTTATACCAAAAGGTATTTTAATTTGTAAGTGTTGAATGACTGTCCAAATTTTATGTGAAGTACAAATGATATTTCATAAGAATTTAGTGAGTGGTGGGCTTGGCAATTCTTGAAATTATCGGGACGAATTTTAACTCGTTTCTAGCTAATCAGCTAACATTTGTTTCAGTTGAATAGTTTATAGGGAAGAACAAGAATGTTAGGAAGATTTTACATAATGAATCTACTGAAGTCTTCCATAGATTTTTAAGAAAAAATGACAAAGATGTTTGTCTATGGAAAATCTGTCTTCCTGAGTTCTTGTAAGAACACAAAAGAGTTTCCCACATTGTTCTTGGTTAGAGTTACGGATTGGATTTGTGTTGGATTTCTGTCAGTCAGCCATGTGGAACGAGAATCTAACACATCAGTGTATTGGTTCAGGTTGCCACACCACATTAGCATAGCGAGATAAAGTTATCAAGAAAAATTTCAGAGCAGAAGTAGTGGAAAAGATCAGGTATAGAAAAAGGAAGAAAATATATAAGGAAATTTTGGGATTCATGGACTGAGGGAATATAAAGAGTGAACACACCTGTGTCACTTCAAACAATCCTGAACCAAGTCACACGAAGCCTCTAACCATTGGTTACGATAATCACATGAACCACAACCAAGTAGTCTGCATCTACTGACATGGCTCAGTTCGGTTGTCAGTGACGTCATGGGCTTGGGTGCACCTGGCTTTCTTTCAGTCTACTCCTGCACCAGATAGCATCCCCCGTCGAGGTTGTGGGGGGGCAAGCATGCGTAATTCGTGTTCCAATCACCTCAGTTAATGAAGATTTACTACCTTCAATCGATTTACCGCCTCTACCTAGTACCATATTCCTAACTTTGGGATTGCTTACTCAGTCGTCTCAAATTATGCGGGCGATGCTTCAAAGACAGGTGTGGTCGAATACTGATGACCTGCGAATATCTTCTACTCTTAATGGCCATGTTTTACATCCATAAAACGGAACGAAACGAACTGCGGTGCCGTAAACTTTGGTTGGCAGACATTTTTCCTACACCACGAGTAATGCATGTTTGCAAAAGCCAGTCTAACGTTTTGGATCCGTGTCCTAATTTCGTCAGACTAGACCATCAAGACTGATGAAACTCCCAAGATATGTGGAGCGGTTGACGAACTCAACTATTCCACTCTATCATTAATTCAGGCGCTCAGACCTGAAGTGGAGAATCGCATGTCAGACATGTTAGGACTGCTGCATTTTGTCAGCGTCTTCGCCAAATATAATTATATCGTCTGAGTATTCTAAATCAATGAGTCTACCGGTAATGGATTAAACCCTGAAAAGTGATATGAGATTTTTCTCTACAACAATACTTGTGACGAAGTTAAGTATAAGTGGATACAGCAGTGACGAACACATCTTAAAATAGATAATCCTGATAACAGTTTGCCATAAGCTGTGACCTGGCCAGTACCTTCCATCTGGAGAGTGTACACGTTTGGTGTATATCTTTAGTGAGCCCTAATGGGTTGATGTCTGACGAAATCTGCACGGACTGAAAAAGCTCATTTGGATTTTGCCAAATTACGTCACCTATGGCGAAGGCGAGATATCCATCTATCAATTAAGGGATGAGCATATTGCGCGGCAAGTTTCCGCCGGAACTCAAAACAACATCCAATCAATATCAAAGTCAGGATCTTCAATACAAACGTAAAGACAGTTCTACTGTACGGAGCTGAAACTTGGAGAACTACCACTACCATCATCAAGAAGGTACAAGTATTCATAAATGGTTGTCTATGCAAGATACTCAACATCCATTGACCGGATACCATCAGTAACAGCCTACTGTGGAAGAGAACAAACCAGCTTCCAGCTGAAGAGGACATTAGGAAAAGACGATGGAAATGGATAGGACATGCATTAAGCAAATCATCAAACTGCATCACGAGGCAAACCCTAACTCGGAATCCTGAAGGGAAGCGGAAAACAGGAAGGCCAAAGAACACATTACGTCGGGAAATAAAAGCGGATATGAAAAGGATGAATAACAAGTGGAAAGGATTGCCCAGGACAGGGTTGGATGGAGAGTACTAGTGAGCGGCCTATACTCCTCCACGAGGAGTAACAGGCGTAAGCAAAAAGTATACTGCACGGCAATTCGTTCTGTTCTAATTTACGGATGCTAAACGTGGCCATTAAAAGTATAAGATACTCGTAAGTTACTATTATTTGATCAAATATATCTTAGAAGTATTGCCAGCATCAGCTGGTATCAACGTGTAAGTAAAAGTGAGGTTAAATGCAGAGTATTAGGGAACCATGTTAAATCAGTTGATGAGATTGAATCTTCATCGACTGAGATGGTTGGATCACGTGTTACGTATGCCTGAACACTGATTGCCACAATGCTGACTAGTCTTGGAGACGGTTGGAAGGAAGTTAGGGGTGGCCAAACCAAAACGTCCAATCAGTACTTGAGGTCACTAACTTCTGGCCTGAGCCATGTTGGTAGATGCACACTACTTGGTTGTGGTCCGCGCGACTATCGTGACCAATGGTTGGAGACTCTTGGTGACATGGCTCAGAATCTATCACAACGGTTTAGGTGTATACACTCTTTGTCTTTCACTAAACCGTGAGATTAGAATTACTTGGTACCTTTCTTTCTATGAACTAATTCTTTCTGTATTATATGCTTATATCTAATCTTTTTCTATATATTACCACCACTGAAGTAACTACTTCTATGAATTTGGTGTTCATCTTGTGCTAATGAGGTGTGGCACCTTGGACCGACATGTATATGTGCCTGGTCCTACTTTGTAGCTGACTGACGTATTTTAGTGACATACACTACCACACAGTCTCCCGAATAATAGCGTCGTATCGTGCCCCAAGGTTAATGAATACAACAATCATCGGTCGCGAAGTATGCCTATGCCCTGAGATCTGACAAAGAGAGAATATTTGGTATTTGTAGATCACTTAAGGCTTTTAATGGATATAATGATTATCACCTACAGTCGGCTCGTTTAGGGTTAATTCTGGGATCGAACAGATAAAGTTTAATGAAATCTTTAATTATCTAGGCAATACTTCCTTGATTTGTTGCCATTACGGTGTTACTGAAAATTTTGTATGAATGACCAATATTTATTTTGCAGGATGCTTATAATTGGGGACCTTTTTGGGTGTTGTTTGCGATTATAACGCTGACTTTTGTGTGACCATCTATACCCATCGGGTATACAGATTATACGCTTCCATGTAATCTCCCTAATCTGATCAACAATTCTGCTACCTTCCGATTATTAAGATAAAAATTTGAGGTTCTGGTAATAAAGTTTGTTAGTACATAAACTATTTGCTCTTACAGTATGTTAATTTATGCAAAATAATGATTTAGCCAATCATGAAGAAGCACACATTTCATGAAATTACCTACTCGTTTACCTTGTTCATCCGGTGTAAGTTGTAATTGGTGGATCAATCCAACCTCACTTCCATTCATCTCTGTGCCTAGTTTAGCTGCCATATCGGGTTGAACTGGAATGCTGTTTATAATAAATATTTTGTTCATTCTAGATTGTGAATAATCACGAATTCATTTATATGATTCTCCGCTGAGATTGTTTATTATTTTGTTGCAACAAACAAGTACTACTCTTTGAATGGGGTAATTATAAAGTACTACTAATATTTTCATTGCCTTTCTTTAAAAGGGATATATCGGTCAGCACATATCAGTAAGTTTTAGAATTATCCGAACCATTGTTTCTGGTGCTTTACACCATGAAATGACCTGTCTCTAGCATTATGTAGTAGTTGGTTCTTAATAGCATTTAAATATTGTTAGAACTAATTAGTAGTGCAGTTGGCACACTAATGAACTGTGATACGATATCATTTTATTTTTACAGTAGCCTTAGACAAACTTTAGCATTTTCTTAAGAATCCTATATGCACGTGACTAAAGATAAGGTATTTTTAGTGCTATGAAATAACTTTACTTTAACTAGTCACCAAATAACGGTCATCTGAGTTCTTTTAGTCTTCTAGTCGTTACAGGTCATTTGATCTTTTCCTATGATGTTATAACTGTTTAAAACTAATAAAATATATATATATATATATATATATATTCATAGTACACAGTAGAATATGTATACAGAATATAATTAATATTCGTTATTCAATACACATAAACCTATGTTACACACACAGTGAAATAGAACAAATATATCTATAAACATACAAATATGTAAAACCGTACATTATGAATAAAAACATAAAAGGTTTCCACTAGTCATAGGTTCAACGTTCAATAATTTCACATTGAACATTTAGAAAAGTGAATATTCCTAATAATCAAAACAAGCTTTTTACTTTGTTTTCTTGATAAAAAAAACCGAAAAAGAGCAACAAAATTGTTTTAGTAAAAATTCAACACTCCAAAATGAAAATTAGAACAAAGGTAACGCGGAAAATAACACCTAAATTTGGAAATGTTTTATTTTGCACCATTGAATTGTTGTATCGGTTTGTGACAGTAGGAAAGGATCAATGTAAATAGAACAATAAAAACGAGTAAAGTAATCATAGTATAGTTGTATTGAATTAGTGTTTACATAAATTATTTCGACGGCAGTCCTTCAACCAATTTCATAATTCGTAGTAAGTAAGACATTAACAACAAAGAGTATTCATATTAAGGTGAAAAAAAACTGACTAAATGGAGTGATAGTAAGGAATACAGAATAAACGGTAATGAATATGACAAAAACATTATCAAGCCCCATAATATAAACAATTAATAATAATTATAGTATTTATAATCCTGATCACTTTTATTTATTGCTTCCATAAAGACAATTTGAATACTTTTCTAGTTGTATTATTTTTTAAATGTTCATCAGTTTTGATTATTTCTTTAAAGAAAATATGTTTGTGTGTTATATTGACATCGATTAAATAGTTTGAAAACAACTGAACATTCAATTGATCAAGTCCTATGGGATTGGAATGTAACATTTTTTTATTAGATAATAATGTTCATTATCATGTTTCATTTGTCTAGGGACCATTGTTCGACTGGAACAATTGATTTGTTTCAAAATATTATTTAAAGCTTTGTAAATATGAAATTTTGTAACTTTTAATCAACTAAAACTTTTCTTATGCTTTAGGTTAGTTTAGTGAGCTTTATAAAATCGTATTGTATGTTAGTGCTTTCATTTAAACGTAATATGAAATAGAGAATTAATTAAGGATAAGATAAAATTAATTTTATTTTTGTTTTATTGAATAAATTGAATATGATTGTCTAAAATTCAATTCAACAAGAAAAGAGGTAGTTTTATGTTTATGATATTTTGTTTTAAATCTAACCATGAATAAATATTTAATTTAACAATGTACTATGAAATCTTCAAAAAACAATAAAATTTATATGAATCATTTGAGAATAGGAGAAGATAACTATACCCAGCCGGAAAAAGTCAATTTTATGAAATAAAGAAAAAAAAAGAAACTATATTTTATGCTACCTAATTCATTGTCTTATTTGTTCAAATATAATAATTCATTAAAATAAAACTAGACAGAAGGAGAAGAACTTCAACAATATGTAACTAAATAGACAAATGAAATTAGAACTATATTAAC